TAATCAAAACAGCATGGTACTGGTACAAAAACAGACATACAGATCAATGGAACAGAATTGAAAGTCCAGAAATAAAACCACACATATATGGACAGCTAATCTTCGACAAAGGAGCTAAGAACATAGAATGGAAAAAGGAAACTCCCTTCAATAAGTGGTGCTGGGAAAACTGGACAGCCACATGCAAAAGAATGAAAGCAGACCATTATCTTGCACCATACACAAAAATTAACTCAAAATGGATCAAAGACTTGAAGGTAAGACCTGAAACAATAAAACTCCTAGAAGAAAATACAGGCAGAACACTCTTTGACATCAGTCTTAGAGGGATCTTTTTGAATCGCATGTCTACTTGGATAAGAGAAACAAAAGAAAAAATAAACAAGTGGGACTTCATGAGACTAAAGAGCTTCTGCAAGGCAAATGAAACCAGGATCAAAATGAAAATATGTGCATATCATATATCCGACAAGGGGTTAATCTCCACGATATATAAAGAACTCACACAACTGAACAACAAAAAACAAATAGCCCTATCAAAAAATGGGTAGACGATATGAACAGCCATTTTTCCAAGGAAGATATACTGATGGCCAACAGGCATATAAAAAGATGTTCAACATCACTAATCATCAGGAAAATGCAAATTACAACTACACTAAGATTTCACCTTAAACCTGTGAGAATGGCTACAATCACCAAGACAAAAAATAATAACTGTTGGAGAGGATGTGGAGAAAAGGGAACCCTCATTCACTGCTGGTGGGAATGCAAACTGGTGCAGCCTCTATGGAAAACAGTATGGAGATTCCTCAAAAAATTATAAATACAAATACCTTATGATCCAGCTACCCCACTTCTGGGTATTTATCCAAAGAACTTGAAATCAACAATCCAAAGAGGCTTATGCACCCCTATGTTCATTGCAGTATTATTCACTACAGCCAAGAAGTGGAAGCAACCCAACTGTCCATCAATAGATGATTGGATAAAGAAGAGGTGGTATATATATACAATGGAATACTACTCAGCTATAAAAAAAGACAAAATCGTCCCATTTGCAACGACAGGGATGGACCTGGAGGGTGTCATGTTAAGCGAAATAAGCCAGACAGAGAAAGACAAACACTTTATGACTTCACTCATAGGTGGAATATAAAGTGACACACGGACAGAGAGAACAGTTTGGTGGTTACCACAGGGAAGGGAATTGGGAGGTGGACACAAGGGGTGAAGGGGCGCATTTATATGGTGACTGACAAATAATAAAGTACAATTAGAATCTAACAATGTTATAAACTACTATGACATCAATAAAAAAATTTTAAAAATTTGAAAAAAGAGAAAAAAACAAAAACATATAATTGATTTTTGACTTGTGATTATTAACTTGAAATTATGAGGTTTTGATTACATTTATAAACAATATTAGAATGTTTACAGGAGGCTAGCTTCACTATAAATTTAATTACCAGCATTGCTTAATTCCTTAGGTAGGTTTTGCCTTGTGTTACCAGGTTGCCAGACATCTGTAATGCTTAATAGTAAATAGAATATATTAAATGTATAAATGAAATTTAAAATGTTCACAGTTATTTAAGTATTTGGGTCTTTAAATCGAACTGACAGCTTCAGGGAAATTTAGCTAGCTTGATTTAAGTAGATTAAACATTAATCAAAAGAAAATAACTTATTTATAGAAAACTCCCTAGATTTATAAAAAGAATAATGAGGCACACCTTTGGAATAGCAAAATCTGCCTGACTAAATCTTTGAGTTTAAGAAGTAAGAGCACAGGGGCCGGCCTGGTGGTGTAGTGGTTAAGTTCACCGGCTCAGCTTCAGCATCCCCTAGGCGCGGACCTATGCATCGCTGGTCAAGCCATGCTGTGGCAGGCAGCTCACATATAAAGTAGAGGAAGATGGGCATGGATGTTAGCCCAGGGCCAATCTTCCTCAGCAAAAAGAGAAGGATTGGCATCGGATGTTAGCTCAGGGCTGATCTCACAAAAACAAAAAACAGGTCGGACGTTTGGATAAGAACGGGGAGATAGGATATGGGTGGTCTTGATTAGATCTCTCCTTGCCCAACTCTAAAACATCATTTCTAAGACTTACCACTTCTCCTTAACACATCATAGTGTTTCATGCCACATTTACTGTTTTAGGCACTGGGGAATTCAAGGGAGAACAAGACCAAGTTCCTATCCTCATGGACTTCTATTACAGAAAAGAGACGGACCAATTGAAAAAACAACCAAATAAATACATAATTCCAAGTAGTGATAAAGCCATGAGGATAAAACCAAATGTAGGATAAGGGAAGAGAGAAAGATAGGGAAGGATGTGGTTACAACTATATTCAGGGAAGGCTCGTCTGAGGTCATGATATTTAATCAGAGATCTGAACCAAGTGAGGGAGAGACATTCAGAGGAAGGTAATTCCAGATGGAGGGTCTAGCAAATTGCAGAGGCCTTGAAGCGGGAACAGGCTTAGTGTGTTTTACGTACAAGAAAGCCACTGTGGCCAAAGCAGAGTGAAAATACAGAAAGACAGATGATGGCAGATTATAAAGGGACTTGTGGGTCATGGTACAGAATATGGATTTTATTACAAAAGTAATGGGAAGGCATAGAAGCATACTATTCAGCCTGCTTAGACTGCCTTTCTCTTCCTTGGTTATCCGGCTAACTCCCATTTGTCTTTCAAAATCTAGCATCATCTCCTGTGGACATATTCCTTAACTCTACAGGTAGGGTCAATCACTTCCTCCTCTGTGCTACTTCCCAGCAATAATAGATGACTGATCTCTCACACTTCTGGGGACCTCGTCTGTTTATTTTTTCAGAGAACTGTGTTTCCGTCGCCCCCCCCCCCTTCTTTGTAGCCCCAGAGTCTAACATAGCGGTGGGTGCTAGGTAAAGGTTCAATAGAGGAGAAACACCCGTTCAGTGGTGCAAGTCTTGACTCCTGAAATGACACGGAGCGCGTGGGGGTTGTTGCCCCGGGAGGCTGGGCGCAGCATTCCCCCAGCTCTCTCTGCGACCAGAGTAAGAGCTTGGGTTTCAAGGATACTCCCTTGGCCAAGAATGCCCCAACGGACACCCAACCTCCAACTGTCAGGTGTCTGTCTCCCCTTTGCACGTCTTTGCCCGTCCTTCCCGGGACCTGCGGTGGGACCTCGGGTAGGGGGAACCTTCGAGATTCCCAGCTCCGAGTCCGAACACTCCCCGAAAACGCTTCCCTGGCCTAGTCACGCACCCGACTCCCCCTTTCCTCCTTAACAACGGAAGTCACATCAGCGATGCTCACTGACATGCAGGGTCCAGCTCCCCTCCTTGCTTCCAGTGCACACCGCCTCGTCCCGCAATCGCCACCGCGGCTCCCCGCCCCACTCACCTAGGATGCGGGTGATCCCCAGGGTCAGCTTCTCCAGGTGCGGCTTGCTGCCGCCCAGCAGCGGGGGCGGCGTCTCCTCCATGGCTCGCGTCCCCGCTCCGCGCGCGGCCGGGGCAGCGGCGGGGACAAGGCGGGAGGGCGGGGCGGGCCGGAGGGCTGGGCGCCGCCTCGGAGCCTCGGCCGTCACGTTCACGGCATGCCGGGAGTTGTAGTGCTCGGCGCCTGAGAGCGCGGCGGGGCGGACATGGGGGGCCCGGGCTGCTCTGGGAGTAGTAGTTCCGCCGGGCGCTCGTTCCCTGGGCCCCGGCGGGGCCTCCACACCAAGCCGCGGGGACACAGTGACTCCTCAGCCCGGTCCTTCCCGCCCTGCCGCGGTTGGCCGCGCAAGCGGGGGCGGGCCTCTGCGCCGTGCGGCCAATGGGGACTGGGCCTGGAGGCCGGGGCGGAGCGGCCCCAGCGCGACGCCCGGAGTGGCGGTTGTTTCAAGATGGCGGACGTGGCGGGCCCCTCCCGCCCCGGCGCGGCGGCGTTCTGGAGCCGGGACTGTATCCTTTGCCCGCCTGGCAGGGGGCGCCGGTGCCCTCCCCCAGGCGGCGAGCGGTCGCGTGGGACTTTGAGTGGAGGGGAGAAGCGCGGTGGAAATCCCGGGGCGCGGCTGTCCTGTCAGGCCACCGTCCAGGTGCTGGGCTTTCCCCTTGCTTGGGCATTAGGTGGCAGAGCGCCTGATCTGTCTCCAGGTTGGCGCTCCAGGTGTGGGGATTCAGCACAGATGTTTCCCAGCCCTCCTTGGCGGTGAGCTCTGGAAAGATGGCCTAGAGTCGTGGCCCACTCTGGGGCTGTGTGTGTCCCTCTTCCCGTGGTGACCTCGGGCCGACTGAGTGTGCGGAGTGAGCTTGTGGAAGAGGAAAGGGTGTTGGCTGGACAGGGAGCGTTTTGTCGTGGTTTAGGAGTGTCCTTGCTTTGCGTTGTTAGGAGCAAGTCAGGATCTTGGACTTCGAAGGCCTGTCAGTGATGGTTTATTTTCATACTGGGATTTTCGGAGAGGTGGGGCTTGGTTTCACTGGGATGTGGTCTGGTGGTGCTGGCTGCAGAATAAGATGCATATCGTCGTGCTTGGAAGTAATGTTGATTTACATGTAGATTGCGGGTCACCGCCGGCAGGATTGAAGTTCTTGGATTGTTTTGGGGTGGAGAAGCTGTGGAGCTTTACCCTCGGGGTAGTATTCCCAGTTCAATATCTATGATGAGATGTGTGGCATAAGTGGTTTCTTCCCTGGGTTAGGTAGACTGTTCCAGTTAGGTAGCTTTGGTTCCGATAATTTACTTCATGTTCGTTACATAAAAGGAGGGCTATCAGTGTATTGGGTGCTTGCTGAGGCAAGTCTGTTTGCTGAAATGGGTGATAGCATTGTTTTGGGGCATTGCTGTTAACTTTCGCAGAATCATTCTTTGCACGTTCTGCTTAGCTCGCCGTGAAACTTACAAAGTTATATTATCATTTGCCCTTACTGAGCTACAAGGATTAAAGTGTCATGCCGCGGAGAAAGGGATGTTTTTGCATTCCGTGCTGCTCATGGAATGTTTAGTGTTATGCACTTCCTAAACATAGTTAACACTTATCTCTGATAGATTGGTGAGAATCAAGTGAAATCATGTACATACACTGTGGATGAAAGCATACTAGTGCACCGTGTAAATGAAATAGTTTTTCCTTTATATGTCAGTAGTGATGCAAAGAGTATGTGCATTGGGAATAACTGGGCTGAGTTAGGAAGTCAGGAAATTGGGATGAGTCTTTTCTCATGAAACACTGCCTCTGTAATGATAGAATTTTGTGCTAGAGGAGATATTTGCAGGTAATTAGCTTGTACTTTGCTTCTTTGGTATAATCATTTTCATAACCACCTTTGTAGTTTTGGTTATTACTCCTTAACTTTCTCTATGACCAATGGTATCATTCTGATGTAGAATAAATGGTGTATGTGTGTGGGGCGGGGAGGGAGACAATCTATTGCAGTGGACTGGTTAAGAAGTATATAAACTGAACCTATGCTCTTGGTCTTAGTGGCCCTGTAGTCTCACTTATTCATGTAGTCATATTACTCCCTATTTCATATAGAAATTGTATATTCTCCCTTTTCTCTTACATTCTCCCTTACTTGAAAAATTAATGTCAATACTCATCTTCCCACTGAAAGTGAGGAGTTGAAATTGTATGGGAAAAATGGTGGTGATTACATTCTATAGAAATTCAGATGTTTGAAAGGAATTGCAAGGTTACTAGTATCACCTGTTTCCCCTGCCTATTCCACGTAATGACCAGTTAACATCCAGCTTCAGATATTTTCATTTTAAATCTCCATGGGACACAAAAACAATGTCAAATGTAAATTTGTTACTGAATCTTTGCTAAAAAGCATAACGATAGTTATGAATCATTTGGTTTAGTTCTGTCTCTTTGGATCTTGATCTCTTTTCTTGTCACTTTGGTGACTTTCCAGACCACCCCAAAGCGTTTATAGTAGAACTTTCAGTAGGAAAAGACCAAAAAGTATGTACCTGTGATCTGGTATTCTTTTCACGTTGTTGAAAGAAGTATTTTCAGTGCTTCACCTAAACAGTTAGAGAAATGTGATTGAGAGATTTCCCAGTCCTAGATGTTTCCCTCACGTGAGGACAGATCATCTGTGACTCAATGTCACCTTTTTCACTGCTGTTCTTGTGAGTTATGCATCTCCTACACAGTATGATTCAGCAGTGCTGTTTTGCGCAAGGTATGTCTTTATACCTAATGTGTAAACAATAAGTATGCCTTGTTGTCATTTTATGGGTCAAATCTGCATTTAAAATATGCCCCTTCAGCCATAAACTGCTTTCCTCATTTGTTATAGTTCCCGCTAATATCAGAAGTGTTTCTTCGGTATCTATATTTGATTGCTTAAATGCACTCAAGCATATTATCATTAACAGTATTAGTAACTTGATATTAACAAATATGAACTATAAGGGGCCTGGTCAAAACATTGCAGTAGCTATAATTTCTGCCATTGAGTTTTCAATTAAAAATAGGCAAGGACTTTATGTTGATGTTAAAATAATTTACTAGTTGGGAAATTCATTGTGGTCAATAATAATTACATACACATATGTTGCTGATAAGTGCTTCAAACTCAAAAGGTTAGAGTGTGCAGTAGTAAGTTTATTTCCTTCAGATCCCAGTGATCTAGGATAGACGTGCTTCTTCCTTTCTATGACTTCTGCCTTGAGTTTCTAATTACTTCTTTAATTCTGGGGATTTGGATAGATTGGTATCAGCATTTAGGATGCTTGATAACTTACTGTACTTGCTTAATGAGGAGCTTCCAAAGAAATCAAAGTAGAACTAAGGTGACACTTGGAACCCAATAAAAGGTCCAGTATACATTTGGTATGTATTGTGTCTCTGACTTTCTCATAAAATATACATTTGTTGGAAATCTCTGTATTTGAAGAAGGTAAATATTTGGGTTCTTAAGATACTGGGATGAAGATAGATTGCAAATGGTTAGAAAGGATAGGTTAGATGGAGGCAATTTCAAATATTTTTAGTCTTATTTTTAAAAACTTTTGTTAAGGTCAGTTTATTTAGTGTCTTTTTATATTTGAAAAGAAATTTAGTATGGATATAACTAATGGGTTTTGCCTGCATATTTTGAATGGGATAAAGAAAGATAACATTAAGACGTTGGACACTGCCTCATAAAATTAAATAAATATCAATTTCATTCTTTCATAGATGGTTTACTATGAGCCAGGAATTCTTTGATGTTTGGAGACATGAAGTTGAACAAAACAAGACGAAAATCCTCGCCCTCTTGGTGCTTACCTTTTAGTGAGATGAGAAGAGGCCAGGAATAAGTAAAAATATATTCTATGTGATGAGTATAGGTGCAATGGAGAAAAATAAAGCAGGAAAGGAATAGCTATCGTGGGGGTCTTTTGTCTTTGTTTTTATACCAACACCATACTGTCTTGATTACTATAGCTTTGTAATATAGTTTGAAATCAGGAAGTGTGATGCCTCTAGCTTTGTTCTTTCTTAAGATTGCTTTGGCTGTTTGGGGTCTTGTGTTTTCCTACAAATTTTAGGATTGTTGGTTGTATTTCTGTGAAAAATGCCATTGGAATTTTGATAGAGATTGCATTGAATCTGTAGTTGGCTTTGAGTAGTATGGACATTTTAGCGATACTAATTCTTCCAAATCATGAGCATGGAATATCTTTCCATTTATTTGTGTCTTCAATTTCTTTCATCAATGTCTTATAATTTTCAGTGTACAAGACTTAGATCTCCTTGGTTAAATTTATTCCTAGGCATTTTATTCTTTTTGATGCAATTGTAAATAGGATTGTTTTGTTAATTTCTCTTACTGATAGTTCGTTTATAGTGTGTAGAAACACAACAGATTTTTGTATATTAATTTTGTATCCTGCAACTTTACTGAAATTATTTAGTTTTAACAGTTTTTTGAGTGGAGTCTTTAGGCTTTTTATATATAATATCAAGTCATCTGCAAGTAGAAGCTTGTGGAAGATCTCTACGGTTTGTTTTTCCTAAAGAAATAAGAAGCAAAGTTATTAGCTGAAAGTAAGGGTGGGGAAGTGGTATCAGATTTGTGAAGAGAGGAGAAAGTATAAAATACTTCATGAGCTTCCATATTAAGGTGCAGTTGAATGGGGTCCCCAGTGACTGGTCTCATCTAGCTGTGAGCAGGCTCCTTTGTGAATGGTCTAGGGAATGTAATATGTTTTTCAGGACTCAGTTATGTTAGTCTTTCCATAGGTCATCCTTGGAGAATATTCTGCAAATTCATCATTATTGTGTCTTTTAAGTGAAGACGGTGCCATATGGAGCGTGTCCTGAATCATCTTGGATTTTTTTTCCTGTTACTTTTTTCCATGTGTATATTTCCAACAGCAAATAATTAAACATATTGAGCATCTACTATGTGTGCTAGTCCCAAAGGATATGAAAAGTGAATCCGTTTTTGCTGTTAAAGAGCCTGCACAATTTCATTTTGTAAAGCTTTTTATAGATTGGGTGTCAATGAATTTAGAAATTCTCTCTCTGCTCCAGTGTGAGTTGCTATCAGTTTGTTTGGAGTACTGGGGTCTAATTTTTTTGTTTGTTTACTTGTCTTATGTGCCTCTTAAAATTTTCTAAGCTCCATCTCCGATGTTTGAGGGAATTTAAAGTTTAAGGGCACTAGTTATCAGCCAAAATCTTAAAGCTGTGATAGTGCATGTCCTGCTGCAGAGAGCTGGTAGAAACCACCTGGCAGCTCAGACAGAAAGCACCAGCTTTGTATTCCCAGTTCCTTAGGGATTCTAAGCTTTTCCAACCAGCATTCTCTGTAAAGACTCCATTACTAGGTTTGATCCCAAGCTGAAATACATTGACTTTTTTAGCGTGTTATTAAATCCACTGAATTACTCTAGCCTTTTCCCAGAAGGAAATTGCTTTGTCTAGAAATCTTGGAAAAGAAAATGTTTTATAAAAGAACAGAAAACTTTGGACTTTACTAGATCATTTGGAATAAAATTGTTTAGTTATTTTCTTCCTGCAAGTGTAATAGAAGGTCATTAAATTGTGGACATATCTGGATTTAGATATAGTTCTGAATAAAATTTTGTTTCTGGAAAGAAAGCTTTCTTATTATATTTGTTCTCTTTCTATAGCAGCGTTATGATCTTAGCCTTTCTAAATTTCTCCTTTTGAAATTTAAAATCGTTCTTATTGGCTTAAATTTCTCCTACTTGTTAAATAGTGGGGCTACTGGGGACATTTCATGAATGCACTACAAAAGAATAAAAATTATCTTTGTGTTGGCATGATTGACTTGCCCTCAAACAGTGTTTGTTCTTCAAAGCTAAAGCTCATTTTGAAATTATTTATTCAAGCCTAAAATAACTTGTCAGTGCTCCCATAATGAGCAAACTGGAGCATTTAACTCATTGTTTACAAAAGGAAAGGAAAATGAAAGGAACCTAACAGCAGAATTTATAGTGTAGGGTATCTAACTGGGGAATAAGCGTGGATAAATTTTTATGGAAATAGGCCTTCCAAAATCTTTACAAAACATATAGTTGTAAATATATAAAGATGAACTTTAAAAGAATATTAATTTTGTTTCATTTAATTCAATTACTCTGCTTTTTGTTTTTAAAAGCTAGTTATAAATTCCCAGGTCAAAAGAAATTACAAATTATAATAGAAGTGCAGATCAGAAGCAGCATTTGGATTTTGGATAATCTTTTCTAGTATTTTCCTTTATGTCCTCCTACATAGTTTCTGATGAAGAACAATCAGTAGTATATGTTCCAGGTATGATTTTCTATATTAATTTGGTAAGCTTCCTTTGCTTCTTAAGTGTTAGGAGAAAGATAAAACATTAGGACAACTTTACAGGTATAACTGAATGGGGAACAGTTCATTAGAACCTAAAATTAAAAAAAAAAAAATATATATATATATATCTAGTATGACTCTATAGGGCTGACTGGGCAAGCAGCTTATAATGAATTTGTAGAATACTTCATTCATGTGTTAAGGAGCAAGACATTATTTTCTTATTTTTTATATTACAAATAATAGCCTAAATTTAATATTTCAAAGAAAAGTGTGAAACTATCTTGATATAGGCTTTATGTAATAGAGTCTTTCAAGTTTACTGGTTATTACAGATGAGTAGTAAAACTGAACCATTGAAGGTACTCTAATTATGTGAAAAATCAGATTTTTAATTTCCCCTAAGTTAAATTATATATGGCATGTTGTAATTTATTGGTTTTAATGTGACTTTTGAACATTCCAGCACCTTTTAAAAATATTTCAATTGAATATTTAATGTATTCAAAACATAATCTTTTCATGATTCATTATTTATGTTTAAAGTAAGAGTTTTCCCTATCAGGTCCCATAAAGTAGAAGATACCAAGGAAGAGGTTGATGGGGGGAAGGTTTAAGAGAATAAGATATAATTTTGAAATCTTATGTGATGGAAATCCTTAGGAATTTCTACAGAAGGAAATATCAGATCAAGACACAAGATGATGAGTCCAAAAGCTGATGTTAAACTTAAGACTTCCAGGGTGACTGCTGCTTCAATCTCCATGGAGTCTTTAAAAGGTGCAGGAGATTCCATAAATGAACAGGTCAGTGATTTCTTATTTATTTTTTCATATTTTCCAATTTTTATAAGTGCTATCCAGTAACTGATTTTTCTGTGCTGACCAATAACTGCTATATAAGGGTAGAAGAGCCCTTGAAAGAATGTTAGGTGATCTACAAGCATTCTTAAAAGATACAGAGGATTCTAGAATGCTTTGATGATGCTTGGTATGAATATATAGTATCTAGATTACTCAAGAGTTTTGCTCTAAAATATCTGGGCCTGCTTTTAGCCTTAGTTAAGACAAATTTATTATCTTGGTATGTCTCAAAAGACCTACATCCTGATCTATGTGGAGTTAGTAAATCAAATTGACAACTTTTTCTTTTATTAGACGTCCTTTATGATTTTTGTTCATGGGAATTTGTTAGTTGATGGATAAACCCTTGTTTATAAGAAAGATGTTTTATTAAAAGAAAATCAGCCTGCATTATTATTATTTCCTTCACTTGGAAAAGAATATCATAAAGATTCTTTCTTTTTATAGGCTAGACATTGATTTCTCCCTCATCTTTGCCTCTGTAATAGTAATCTATATGTTCCTTTGATGCATGTCCTATCTGACTGGTTTATTTTACTTTACTTTTTGTTATATTTTGTCTCCCCTACCAGAATTTAAGTTATGGTTTGGCAATCTATGACCTGTAGGCCAGATCTGCCTGCTGCCTGTTTTGTAAATAAAGTTTTGTTGGAACACAGTCTTGCTCATTCTTTTAATATCTATGGCTGCTTTTATGTTCAATGGCAGAGTTGCTACAGGGACTGTATGCCCACAAAGCCAAAAACATTTGCTATTGAACCCTTTACAGAAAAAGTTTTTCAATTCCTGGCTGTTGTTCTTGAGGACATTTCCTATATCTAGTGTGTTACTAATTATTATGTTTGGTAGTCCACAGGATTTAACTGTGATAAGCTCAAAAGGCCAATTGTATTGCCAATGCACTCACTTCATACTGGGATGTGCATAGTTGAATTTGCAATTTCTTATCAAAAATTGGAGTTTTTTAATATAATGGTTTGTTTCTTTTATATTCAACCATAGCCTTCTTTTGGATTAAGTCCATATTTTTTTTATGATTCTATTGGTTTATTAGCTATAATTCTTTGTTGGGCTTTTCAGTGGCTGTAGGGATTATAGTATACATCTTTAATTTATCAGAGGCTATTTTCAAGTGATGTTTTCCCACTTCATCTATAATTTAAGGACCTTTCAACAGTATAAGTTCTGACTTTTGTGATATTGCCATACCTTTTACTTCTATACATAAACCTCAAAATATATTATTATTTTTGCTTTAAATAGTCAACTGTCTTATTTTCAAATTGAGGTATAATTCACATATCATAAAATTTATCCTTTTAAAGTGTACAATTGATTGGGTTTTTGTATATTCACAGAGTTATAGATCCATCACCACAATCTAATTCCAGAACGTTTTCATCGCCCCAGAAAGAAACTCTATATTCATTAACAGTCACTCCCCATTCCCCAATTATCTCGGCCCCTAGCAACCACAAATCTACTTTTAGTCTCTATAGATTTGTCTATTCTGGACATTTCATGTAAATGGAATCATATAATATGTGGCCTTTTGTGACTGGCTTCTTTCACTTAGCATAATGATTTCAAGGTTCATCTATGTTGTACCATGTATCATTACTTCATTCATTTTTATGGCTGAATATACATTTTGTTTATCCATTCATCAGTTGAAAGACATTTGGGTTGTCATACTTTTTGGCTGTTAATGAACAGTACTGCTATAAACATTCATGTATAAGTTTTTGTGTGGATATGTGTTTCCAGTTCCCTTGGTATATACCTAGAAGTAGAATTGCTGAGTCAGATAGTAATTCTATGTTTAACCTATTGATGAACTGCCAAAGTAGCTACACCATTTAAATTCCCACCAGCAATGTATGAGGATTCCAGTTTGTCCACTACTTAGAGATCCATATCCATCTTTTTTCTTATAATCATCTTAGTGAGTATGAAGTGGTGTATCATTGTGGTTTTGATTTGTATTTCCCTAATGATTAATAATGATGAGCATCTTTTTATGTGCTTCTTGCCCATTTGTATATGTTCTTTAGAGAAATATCTCTTCAGATCCTTTTCAATTGGGTTATTTGTCCTCTTATTGTTGAGTTATAAGAGTTCTTTATAGATTCCATCTACAAGTCCCTTGTCAGATGTATGATTTGCAGATATATTCTCCCATTCTGTGCATTTTCTTTTCACTTTCTTGTTGGTGTCCTTTGAAGCACAAAAGTTTTTAATTTTGATGAGGTCCAATTTATCTTTTTTTTTCTTTTGTTGCCTGTATTTTGCTGTCATATCTAAGAAATCATTGCCTAATCTAACACCTCAAAGATTTATATCAATATTTTCTTCTAAGAGTTTTATATATTACATTTAGTCTTTGGTCCATTTTGATTTAATTTTTGTATATGATGAGCGTAGTGACCCAACTTCATTCTTTTTGCATGCGGATACCTGGCTGTCCCAGCATCATTTGTTGAAAAGACTATTCTTTTCCTTTTGATTGTCTTGGCAATTAAAAATCTGTTGACCATAAATGTAAGCATTTATTTGTGGACTCTCAAGTCTATTCCATTGTTCTATATTTTTCTTTTTATGCCACTACCACACTTTTTTTTAATATTTTTACTTTTTTTAAATTTTTTATTGTGAAGTTTTTGTTGTACATTATTGTTTATCAGTCACCATATAAGTGCATCCCTCCACCCTTGTGCCCACCCCCACCCCCCAACCCCTGGTAACCACCAAACAATTCTATCTGTCCATGTGTTGGTTTATCTTCCACATATGAATGAAATCATGCACCGTTTGTCTTTCTCTTTCTGGCTTATTTCACTTAATACCCTCCAGGTCCATCCATGTTGTTGCAAATGGGACGATTTTGTCTTTTTTTATGGCTGAGTAGTATTCCATGGTATATATATATACCACATCTTCTTTATCCAGTCGTCAGTTGAGGGACACTTGGGTTGCTTCCCTGTCTTGGCTATAGTGAATAATGCTGCAATGAACATAGGGGTGCATAAGCCTCTTTGGATTGCTGATTTTAGGTTCGTTGGGTAGATACCCACTAGTGGGATAGCTGGATCATAAGGTATTTGTATTTTTAATTTTTTGAGGAATCTCCATACTGTTTTCCATAGAGGCTGCACCAGTTTGCGTTCCCACCAGCAGTGGATTAGGGTTCCCATTTCTCCACAGCCTCTCCAGCATTTGTTGCTTTTTGTCTTGGTGATTATAGCCATTCTAACGGGTGTAAGATGATATATCTTAGTGTGGTTTTGATTTGCACTTCCCTGATGATTAGTGATGTTGAGCATCTTTTCATGTGCCTATTGCCCATCTGTATATCTTCTTTGGAGAAGTGTCTGTTCATTCCCTCAGCCCATTTTTTGATTGGGTTGTTTGTTTTTTTGTTATTCAGTTGTGTGAGTTCTCTATATATTATGGAGATTAATCCCCTGTCAGATATATGGTTTGCAAATATTTTTTCCTAGCTGGTAGGTTCCCTATACATTTTGATCCTGGTTTCATTTGCCTTGTAGAAGCTCTTTAATCTGATGAAGTCCCACTTGTTTATTTTTTCTTTTGTTTCCCTTGTCTGAGTAGACACGGAATTCAAAAAGATCCCTTTATGGCTGATGATGAGTTGTGTACTACCTATAATTTCCTCCAGGAGTTTTATAGTTTTAGGTCTCACCTTCAGGTCTTTGATCCATTTTGAGTTAATTTTTGTGTATGGCGAAAGATAATGGTCTGCTTTCATTCGTTTGCATGTGGCTGTCCAATTTTCCCAGCACCATTTATTGAAGAGACTTTCCTTTCTCCACTGTATGTCCTTAGCTCCTTTGTCAAAGATTAGCTGCCCATAGATACGAGGTTTTATTTCTGGACTTTCAATTCTGTTCCATTGATCTGTGTGTCTGTTTTTGTACCAGTACCATGCTGTTTTAATTACTATCACTTTGTAGTGTGTTTCGAAGGGATTGTGATGCCTCCAGCCTTGTTCTTCTTTTGCAGGATTGCTTTAGCTATATGGGGTCTTTTGTTGCCCCATATGAATGTTAGTATTCTGTGTTCTATTTCTGTGAAGAATGTCCTTGGGATACTGATTGGGATTGCATTGAATCTGTAGATTGCTTTAGGTAGATGGACATTTTAACTATGTTTATTCTTCCAATCCAAGTGCATGGAATATTTTTCCATTTCTTTATGTCATCCTTGATTTCACTCAATAATGTCCTAACATAGTTTTCATTGTATAGGTCTTTCACTTCCTTGGTTAAATTTACTCCTAGATATTTTATTCTTTTGTTGCAATTGTAAATGGGATTGTCTTCTTGAGTTCTCTTTCTATTAGTTCATTGTTGGTATATAGAAATGCAACTGATTTCTGTAAGTTGATTTTGTACCCTGCCACTTGGCTGTAGTTGTTGATTATTTCTAATAGTTTTCTGATGGATTCTTTAGGGTTTTCTGTATATAAGATCATGTCATCTGCAAACAGCAAGAGTTTCACTTCTTCATTGCTTATTTGGATTCCTTTTATTCCTTTTTCTTGCCTAATTGCTCTGGCCAGAACCTCCAGTCCTGTATTGAATAAGAGTGGTGAGAGTGGGCACCCTAGTCCCTGTTTTTAGAGGGATGGCTTTCAGTTTTTCCCTATTGAGTATGATGTTGGCTGTGAGTTTGTCATATATAGCCTTTATTATGTTGAGGTACTTTCCTTCTATACCCATTTGTTGAGAGTTTTTATCATAAATGGATGTTGAGTCTTGTCAAAAGCCTTCTCTGTACCTACTGAGATGATCATATGGCTTTTATTCCTCATTTTGTTAATGTGGTGTATCACATTGATTGATTTGCAAACCTTTGGTTTGTTAATAGTTGCTTTATGTACCTTGGTGCTCCTCTATTGGGTGCATATATATTTAAAAGTG